GAGACTTTTCTTGAAGGGACGGTCGCCGGCCAGCCAATAAAACACCCTTTTAAATTCTCAGTTGGGTGTTCTGGTTCCTTTTCCGTGTGGCAGCCTCACAACACTATATGGTCTCTCTGTGTCAACTATTCAACTGTGCTGCTGTGGCACAAAAGCAGCCAGAAAAAAATATGCAAATGAATGAGCATGGCTGTGTTGTAATAAAACTTCATTGACAAACATCGAAATTTGAATTTCAAATAATTTTCACATCATGAAATACTATTCTTCTTTTGATTTTTTCAACCATTTAAGAATGTAAAAACCATTCTTAGCTCAGAGGCCACACAAAAGCAGAGAGCAGAATGGATTTGGCCTGTGGGCTATAGTTTGCTATAGATTCATGACCGAAAGAGTACTACTAACTAACTAGAAATCTGCTTAATACCATTACTTTGATAAACACTTAAGCCTTGATTTTTATAACATTATGCTTATAATAATACAATCAAACATTAATAAAGTATATTTTATTGGTGAAAAATGAAATATCAAATAAACATCTCTTGGTAAATATTTTCTATGTATCAAAGGCAGAGAAAGTGAGATAACCCTGTCAGAGATGACAGAATAGCTGCAAATAAAACTTCTTATTCAATGATCATGGTTTATAGAGCCCCAGGCAAGTCCAGGGCATTGACTGGGTGGATAGCTTCCCATGCTACAGTAACACACACCCAGAAAGAAGAGGTTCTACACCGAAAGGCAATAAAAGCTACTGGAAGTCACACAAGTAAGAAAAGCACATGCTACATACATGAAATAAAAATAAGGAAGAGACTCAGAAAAAAGCTAGAGCAATCATTCAAATCTTTTAATACTGAAAATATTTGTCCAAAGTGGTACCAGGATATGTGGAATCTGGAAATGATTTCACATGAACAGTTAAAAGAACTAGAAATGTTTATCTTTGATAAAACTATCTTCAAATAGCTAAAGCAGTGTCTGGAAAGAAATAACAGAATTACTCCATGTTATTGAGAAGAAAGGACCAGGAATAACATGCAGAAATTAGAGGAAGATAATTTCAGTTTATTTTAAAGTGGTGGAGGGAGACACTATACAACTAAAATTGTTCAATAACGGACAGGGCTTCCTTGAAAATACCTTACACAACGTAACTGTCCTTTCAGTGATGCCACGTGACCGTTAGGGATTCTTACACACAAAGAGGTTCTTACATTAGGGAGAAGGTTGGACTCTAAGTTTTCTTCTCATCCTAAGATCTTATCATATTTTGAAATTTGATATACCAGAACAACCTTTTAATTCTGAGTTTAGGCTATCTGGAGACAATAATGGCAAATAGGTAATGTGGATAATACATTATTTTGAAGTAATCTCAAATTTAAAAAATGCAGGAAGTATGCAGAGTTCAGGGAAGATCATAATAATTAAGGAACGACAGAATTCAATGATAAGAAAAAGCCTTAGCTAATTAAGCCGTTTGGGGAAAACATAATGATACATTTATCTGAATGATACATATTTTAAGAACAACAGACTGAAAGTTTTTACAGCAGGAAAGACAATCAGAATGATTATCTTAAAAAGAAAAGTAACATAGGATAATTCAGTTATTACACTGTTTGTAAATTTCAGTCACCAAAAACCCCCATGTGATCACAGGTTAAACCAATCCTTAAATAAAAATTATTAACATGCAAAAGTGGATAATTAATTGATTAAAGAGAAGAAATTCAATTTAAATTCCTGAAAAATAGATATGCTCTAGTTTTAAGATTTTAGACAATCTGATTTAGGTTCTCTTTCCCTTTCTAAAACCAGAATGCCAAAAGACTGATACACTGGGAATAAAAGCACTTTAAATTTGAACATCACTTGGTTCAGAATATTCCTGCTACCATAGGCAGTATACTTCTCTCTACGGGCAGACCTACAGTAGACGGAAAATTACAAAAAGATTGCCTCTATATGTAAAATCAGAAAAAGGGGAATTAGTCAGAGAAGCCAATTTAATTTTGTAAGGCTAAGGCCATCCTTTGTACCTGTCACCACAACACGTATAACCTTGCAGTGGGACCCAAATTCTCGACTATGGCTAAAGTTCCCCATAATTCTGAGGCATTTTCAAATTGTCAAAAAATCCATTTAAAATAAGCAAAGTCATATTTAGAATTTTTCATTGCAGATATGATTTTAACTTACTATGATTTTAAAAAGAAGTATTCCTGCTCACTTAACTTCGGTGTTAAATAAGCTAAAATAGTGAGAAATTATTTATTTTTTAACTTGTCCTGGAAAAGATACATTTAAAAAATTTTAAGAGTTTTATTGAAATATAATTTATGCACAATAAACTTCCCACATACAAAGTATACAGTTTGATAAGTTGTGACATATTTGTAAAACCATCATCATACTCAAGATAACACACCCAACACTTTCCAAAGTTTTTTCCTGATCCTTTGTAATCTTTCCTGCCCTGCCTCCAGCCCAGTTCCTAGAAACTCACTATTCTCCTTTGTCACTATAGATTAGTTTGCATTTTCCAGAATTGGAATCACAGTATACACTCTATATTGTCTGGCTTCTTTCATTCAGCATAATTATTTTGAGATTCATTCAAGTTTCTGGGTGTATTAATAGATCATTCCTTTTAATTGCTAAGTAGCATTCCACTTGTGTGAATAAACCACAATTTTTTTAACCACTGACTTTTGACAGACATTTGGGTTATTTCCAGTTTTTGATTATTACAAATAAAATTGTTGTGAACATTTATATACCAGTTTTTGTATAAACATAACTTTCCATTTCCCTTGGTAATTACCTAGGCGTGTAATAAATGGATTGTATAATAGGTAATGTTTAACTTTTCAAGAAAATGCCTGTTTTCCAAAGTCATACTATCTTACATTTCCCCTTGCAGTGTATGAACGTTCCAGTTCCTCCACATCTTTATCAGCATGTGGTACGGGTAGCCATTCTAGAGAATATATAGTGGTATTTCATTATGGTTTAATTTGCATTTCCCTAAAGACTAATGAAGTTGATCATCTTTTCATGTACTTATATGCCACCCACAGATCTTTGGTAAATTGTTCAAATCTTTTGCCCATTTTTAAATGAGGTTTGTTGTTTTCTTGAGTTTTGAGGTTCTTTATATATTCTGGATACCAGTCCTTTATCAGATATATGATTTAAAATTCTATCCCAGTCTGTGGCTTGTCTTTTCATTTTCTTAACAGTTTTGAAGAGCAGAAATATTTAATTTTGATGAAATCCAATTCATCAATGTTTTCTTTTATGGATTATACTTTCTGTGCCATACCTAAGAAATCTTTACCTAACCCAAGGTCACAAAGATTTTCCTTTTTGTTTTCTTCCCAAAATTTTAGAGTTTTAGGCTTTACATTTTAGGTCTGTGATCCATTTTGAATTAATTTTTATATATGGTGTGAAGTATTTATCAAAGCTTATTATTTTCTTTCTGGACAGCCAATGGTTCCGGCATCATTTGTTGAAAAGACTATTTTTTCTCCACTGAAGTGACTTTGCACCTTTGTCAAAAATCAGTTGCCAATATACATATAGTTCTATTTCTGCACTCTATTCTGTTCCATTGATCATTTGTCTGTCTTGATACGAACACCACAGTGTTAATTACTGCAGCTTATAAGTCTTGAAATTTAACTTTGTTCTATTTCTTCAAAGGTGATTTTGCTATTCTAGGTCCTCTGCATTTCCAAATAAATTTTAAATTGAGGTTGTTAATTTCTACTAAAGAAAAAAAGAAGCCTGCTGAAATTGTGATTGTATTGAATCTATAGATCAATATGGAGAAAAATAACATATTAACTATATTGAGTAGCTCCCTCACCTGTGTTTCTCAATACTGAACTGAATACTTCTGCAAATCTCTGAACTTCCCTCTCTGTGCAGCTCTCTCCTCTCCGACACTTTGGCCTGCAAATTCTAGTTGCCTTGGTCTTCCTGGACTTTCATTTCCATCTCCTCAACTCCACCTAGGTTTCCCCTACCTACGTTGCAGCCTGGAAATTCTCTCAAGGCAGTAAGCTGGGGCAATCACAGGGCTCACCTCGTTTTACTTTCCATCTCTCAGGGACCACTATCCTTGATTGCCCTTGTCTTCAAAACTGTGGTTTTATTTATTTTCCCCACTGTTATAATTGTTTCAGGCAGGAAGGTAAATCAGGTCCCTGTTACTCCATCTTCACTGGAAGTGAAATCTCAATTTTTAATTTTTAATGTCAAATCTGTTCTCAAAGTTATAAAATTCAAGTAAAAACAGGACAAAACATAACTAGTAATTAGTATAATGTTTATCACTGTTCATATATTTGTTCATTAACTCATTTCATTCCACAAGTATTTATTGAATTCTACACAGGAAGTACTGAGGATCAAAGCCAGACATGCCCCTTGCTCTCACAGAGCTTACAATCTAGTGGGACAAATGGACACTAATCAGATAATTATAAACAAAAATATAACACTGAAACTGATATCTGCTATGAAAGAAAACAACAGAATGATGCTATGAGAACCTATAAGAGGGTGATTTTATGGTATTTGTTTCTATTGAGCCTACTATTGTGCCTACATCCATGGACTGAAAAGTATCATTACTATTGCTCCATGTTAAAGTCACAAAGAAATTACATACATATACAGTGGGGAAAAAAGTACACACTAAATAAACTTATCAATATATGATATATCTACTAGGTGTGAGACAATATGTTAAGGGCTTTGGAGCACACAAAATTTATGACACTATCCCCTATGAAACTTAAGATTTAATACGGCGTATAAAATATGAAGAAACCCTGTATAAATATAAGTGGAAATTTACCACTTAAACATCATTTTGTCTATTCCCATTAAAAAAATATTTTTTTCATTAGCCTAATTTCAGAAATTCGATCAGTTCCTTTGAGAAAGCAATACATTTATCTTATTTTGTTAAATCTTACCTAGAAATCTCAGCTTGGGAATTTTTTTCTCCATCAACAGTGAAAGGAGAGGCTCCAGTTAGTAATTCATACATTAGAACACCTAAACTCCACCAGTCAACTGCCTATAAAACAACGATAATTTTATTTTATGGGATTATCAACTAAAATATATAAGAAACAAAAAAATGAACAAAATAAAGCTATGTATTTGGAAAATATTTTAACAAAAAGATTTTGTACACAGCTTTCTGTGTGAAGAGTATGAAATTAGCACATGCATGAAAGACATTTTAGATAACAATTATCCAGGCGTCTTCAGCTCAGAAAGCATTTTAATTATTTCCTAAAGTAATAACAGTTTTACCTTGAATTTAAAAGAACTTAAACCAGAAGTAAATTTTAAAAATTTTAAGTAGGTAAAATCTTTGGACTTACGATAGGGAAAAAAAAAGTACCAATTAATATTTTTATTAAGCATTCAGCTCCAATGAACCTTAGAAGTTTCTTAAAATCAAAGAACAAAAATGAAAAAAAAAAAAAAAATCTCACCCAAGGGTGTTATGTCTTCATAACCACCTAAATCAATTCCTCTTATAGAACCTATCACATAAATCTAAGAGTCTTCACATCAGAAAGATTTAAAATAATATAAAATAAAATGTGTCCTAAGTAGGAAACCAATTTATAAATTCAGTTACATGAACTAAGAGCACAGTGAGTCATATATGGTTTAAAGGATCTTTATATATTGAAAATTAGTTCTTTTGTAATTAGACATATCAGGATTTCAGTAGCTGTTGAATATATGAGCTTATACCTACGAGAAATATTAACTGGATGTCAAAATTTTAAACTATCTGCTTCCAAATTCTAGGGCTAAAGTTTCAGAGAGGTGACCTAGAGCTATTTTAAAGAAACTACAACAGGCCCAGGCAGACCGAAATCATGAGAGGAAAAGTATTTAGTGTTTCCTCCATGCCAGGCACTGTGATGAGCACTTTGCATACATTAACTTATTTAATTAACTCAAAGTCATCAGGGTGTTTCACATATGAGAAAAAAATATTTATTGATTAGTTGTATTGTGGAACTTATATATGCAGAAACTCCAGGAATAATATAAGGTTTTCTTAACTGAAAAGTGGTTCCATTAGGTCTTAGAAGATAATTTTCAAATTTTAAGTTATAATTTCCTACCAAATTTCCCAGTAGCTTCAAAGTATACCACGAAGCAAAATTCAGCTCTTCTATTTATACAAGCAGTTTCACTGCCGTTTGAGTGAGAACCCTCAGAATGTTTTGCCTGTTGGATTTGAATCCATGCTCTTCAACTGATACAGATCAAGGACAAGATTCCTAGACATGAACCTGAAACCAATACCACACCAACTTGAAGAATGGGCTTTTAAATATATGATTAGTCATTAGAAAGGAGACCAAAGGTTCTCCACAGCTAGACATTTAGAGTGTATATGTGGGATTTTGAAAGGGGATGAGGTGAGGGGAAGATGAGGAGCAAAAAGATAGTCAAAATTCCTTTTCTGGAGAAAGTTATTAATAAAGCAAAAGTGTTAAGAAAAACTGAACAAATTTTGTACTCTTTAATACAGGAAGAAAAAAATGTGACCTAGATTTTACAACATAATTACTTAGAAAGCTTCTTCTATAATCTTGACTTTGCACATACAAAGGAAAGTGAGGAGGCCAAAAAATTGAGCTTTTTAGAGGGCTAAGGAAAACAAACTTCAACAATTTCAAATGCAGGATTTTTTTTCCCCCAAGGTTGTTACAATGTTTATTTCTGATGGAGAGATAACCAAGAAAGTCTCCGGTATCTGTGTAAAGTTAAAGGCAGAAATTGAGAATAAGAAAATATGAATGATTCCCTTTTCAGTGAGCTTTCAAAGACCTTTTAGAAAGCAAATATTAACTAATGGTGATACACATGACTATCTGTTTCAGTATGTTTTTCTAGTAGAAATTAATAACGCCAGTAAGCACTGGCCAAAATTATTCATCATGAGTCAGACAGGAATGATGTGCATAATTTATGCATTCAGTAACCATTCTGTACTGTATTGTGGTTCAGGTGTGTTCTAAAAGACCAGGGTCCCATGTGACAGAAAAAGAATGATTTTTTTTTTTTTTTATGTGACCGGTAAGGGGATCGTAACCCTTGGCTTGGTGTCGCCCATACCGCGCTCAGCCAGTGAGTGCACCCGCTATCCCTATATAGGATCCGAACCCGTGGCGAGAGCACTGCTGCGCTCCCAGCGCCGCACTCTCCCGAGTGAGCCACGGGGTCGGCCCGAAAAAGAATGATTTTTAAAAAATCAAGTCATAAGTGGTGCTTTCTGCTTAAGACAATAGGCTCTTAATGAAAATAAAATAAAAATTATTTGAAGGAAGAGCAACTATGAGGACTCAACTTTAACAAGAGTGTTACTTCTATAAAATAAACAAAATCCTCACCAAGAAGACTTAAAAAAAAAAAGAAAACCTTTTTATCTTTTTCCTCCAAAACACTGGATATCATAATGTGTTCAGGTACCCAAAGCAAAAGAGAAAAAAATGAAGTTAAGTCCATCAGCACCAGAAAGAGGGCTCTGCTGAAGAGACTATACCTAAGTTATTAACTAGGAGTATTATTATACATTTTATGGAAATATATAAAGAAGCATCAAAAATAAAACATACCTTGTCATGTCCTGAATCTCCCCCTCTGACAATATCTGGTGCCATGTATTCAATAGTTCCACAAAAGGAATATGCTCTTTCAGTCTTGAACAAACAAACAAAAAAGGGGATTTCAAGCTAGTATCATTAAGTGACAAAAGAAGAAAGTTAATAATGCATGTCAGTGGCTATGACACACAATAGCAAAGTAGTGGTAGAATCTAAACGACACAGACCCTCCCTTCACCAGGACAGACTGTCACATACATAATGAGTCCTGGGTAAATGCCCTGTCAGAACAACTTGCCTGAAACCCTACCATCATCCATCCATCCATCCATCCATCCATCCATCCATCCATCCATCCATCCATCCATTTATTGTTTTGAGTCTATGTGTGTATTTTAGTTTTTCAGTTATTGGTTTCTTTAACCATTCTTTTTTTAGAATACGAATAGTTCTAGTAGGGTAAAATAGACTGTCTAACACTTCAGTATGAATGACTTTAGCAAGACTGGAAAAATACTGGGAAACTTGAAGGTTTCCCAGAATGCTAAGAAGGCAAACAGGGAACCCAAAGATGAAAAAGGATGAAAAAAAAATTTTTTCTACCTCACCATCTTGCCATAGGTTTGGCACCGCACATGGTATGTTTACTGATAAGGAACAAAACTGTCTTTAAAAAAAAGATTGTGTCTTAAAGACAATCGTTTCTCTTTCCTAAAACTTTAAAAATCTAAAAGGGCTAACTTATGAGGCCCGAAAGTTAATTTTAAAAACTTAAATAATTTTTTAAATGACTGTGTCATATGACTCATCTCAATATAATAAAGGAGAGTAAATATCTACGTTGTTATGCATACATATTATTGTTATTATTTTGGTTACATTAACTCTATTAGAGGACAAACTGTTAATGAAGTGTCAGATTCAATTTTTGACTCCTATATATGAATAACCCATATAAGCCAGTATGTTTCGAAAGCTTTGTGCTATGTGATGGTGACAATGTGCTGGATTTATGAGTGGTCTTATTAAATCGATTATTATTGGTGGTAAACTGGATTTATAAAATATGTGTATAATAGAGCAGCACCTTAATGATTCCAGGAAAATAACTGTTGTTGGTAGATTCGTAACATAAGCTCATATGCTTAGTAAGGCCTTATGTGAAATATTAAAAATTTTACAAAATGCAATACTTTTTGGTGAAAATGATACATAAAAACATCCATGAAAGTATCTAGAAAGTGCTCTTTTTTTTTTATTTCTCATTGTACAATGCAATTGATTTTCATGGCCCTTTCGAACCCTTCCTCTCCGGCTTTACGTCCCTGGCAACTTCAGTTCTGTTCTCTTCTCTTAAAAAGTTCAATGAATTATTGTGATTGTTGTATCTTTTTTTGTTGTTTAATTCCCCTTTAAAAATATATATTCATATGGCTATATCTGAAACTTTTTTTTCTGGTGGCTGGCCAGTACAGGGACCCAAACCCCATGACCTTACTGTTACTAGCACCGCACTCTCACAAGTGAACAAACCAGCAAGCCCTATATCTGAGTAACTTTCTTTCATGCCACTAAAATATTTCACAAAACTATTTTCACAAAATTAGTACTTCCTAGAGGAAGCTTTCCAGTTTATGCTCTACTCTTCTACCAGAGAGGTTTCAAGAAAAATAAGCTTTTCTTCTCATTTACCAATTTTAACTGTAAAGAATACTACTCAAGCGATATTGTAGAAGTGGTAGAAGTCCTTGCTTTTTTGGCTCAGGGTTAAACAAGCCCATGGAGACAATAAATGTAATGACTTTACTTAAACACAATGGTATTAAATGTATTAAAACTGTTATTACATATATACACACACACATATAAATAAAAATAAAATTAATATGGTTTATGGTTCATTTTTTGTTTATGTGCTACATAACACTGAAATATTACTATTCCCACTAGAAATTAAAAGAAATAATTCAACTATGCTAGGGTCTCTAGGAAATTTTCTTTTTTGTTAGCTGGCAGAATAACGTTTTTGAGTAGCTAATATAAATCATGTATCAAATGTTATTATCTCTTGGCCTCATCATTTCAGGACCAAATGCTAATTTTGTGGCAAACTACTGAAAAAACTGAAGCTAAATAAAATTGATTCCACATGAATTTGTGTAAAAAAGGCAATGAGTAATTTTTAAAATTTTGTTGGACATGCTTAGACAGAAAAAAATATGTGTATTAGGAAACATTCCTCTCTTCATTAAATTATTTAAAAAGAAATACTTCAAAAATTAATTTTAAAAAACTCCAGACTTCTTAAAACTAAATAGTGGTTTTAGTTAATATATTATTTACTATGCAAAAGTCCTTTTTCAGACATTAAGCAAAAATCACTGCATAGCTAAAGTACAGCAACACATAAAAATTACTAAGTCATAGTATTTAATATTTAGCGTCATCTTAAAAGATACCTTTAAGACACATTTAAAACATCATATCCTAAGTCAAGTTTTGCTATACTGAATAAAAATCATTCTCCAAACTGGTTTATGAGTAAAAAAGATAAAGAGGTTTGACATATTGCTTCTCTAGATTTTTATTCATTTAGAAAAATAATTTTTATTACTATTTTAACAAATATAAATTTTCATTTCCACTTACAGCAGTTCCATGTCACATTTTGAAATTATGTGTATTTCCTTCTCAGTATGACCCAGTGATTAAATTTTACAAATTAAAAGTAATGAAAATCTGGACAAACTTCTCCAAAACAATAAATATTCATAAGTTTGGCATAAAAAGGGTATGAAATATGTCTTACTGATTAGTGCCAAAATGATTTGATAGTCACCACCAGTTAGTTACCCTGTTTTACTTTAACTGACAATGACAATTACGTAGCTCGTTTCTTTATTGCCTTGACTTAGAGGAAACTCAGAACCAAATTAAGTGCTTAAAAATATCTCCTCCACCTTCTCCATGTGATTTTGGGCTCTCTTTTAATCCATTTTAGTTTCTCTGGTTTGGGGAGGAATGTGGGTAGCGTATACATAAATAATTAGTAGATAATTATTTATCTGATAGAAATTCTAGGCGATAGAAAAATTAAAGCTTAACTGCTGGGAAGCTCCAGTCAGTGAGAATAGAAAACAAAGACAAACATTTCAAAGTCTTTCCCTTATTCAAAAACACTGCCATCTTACCCCATTCCAAATCTGTATTTCCTTCTTCAATTGTGTCATTCCCTCTGAGTTCTAACTTTTAGTTTCCACCTAAATTTCCTAAAAGTTTATCTTCTATTTGTAAAAATATCATGAATTTTAACTTTTGAATTTGAAATTTAACTGCCTAGGAAGATGCATGTTTTCTAGAGTATATACCAAATGCTTTAAAAAATAATTCTACCAAAATGACAAACTAAAGAGATTTGATGGGGGAAGAACACACCATAAAACATACTCCAGAGTCTCTGGTTGCGGCAGGAGAGATTTCAAGGTAATATTTTATGAAATATGATATAAAAAGTCTAGGACAATACAGGTAAATTCCATTATGATTACGGTTTATTATTTGTTCAAAATACCCTTACCTTTTTCTCAAGATCAGAGGCAATTAACCTATTTAATATTAATGTCCATACTAATTTATAAGCAACATTACTAATCATTAAAGTTAAAGTTAAAAGACTGTAAATGCAACTTCCGATCAGAATGGTGGAATAGACAGGACCCAATGTCAACCTCTCCCACAATCAATTTACAACTACTAAAAAGCAACAACTGCCAAGCTGGGACCACTAGAGCTTGGAGGAAGAGAAAAAGAGACCTACAGAGTTCATGAAGGCAGGAGAAGCTGCAATGAAAGACAGAAAGGACCACTCCCACCATTTCGAGCCCTGACCACTTCAAGGCTGGCCCTGGTGAGCATGCAGAAAAAGAGCTGGCAAAAGCCGCTGCTGTGACCTTCACATGAAGTTGCTTAAAGGCTGCCCGGGAGAAGAGGGCCTTGGTGGCCCCCAGGCCAGCAAGACCACTAACAGGGTTCCCGTGGACCCACATAGGAGCGAGGAGCCACAGACAACTGAAAAAAGAAGCCATTCAGAGGCTGGTGAGTCACCGCAAGGGACCAGCATATGGGCCCGTCCCATGGGAAGTGTTTGGAGTGTGGGCATGGGGGAGATGGGCCACAGGGGGAACACTGGGGCATGGCATGGACAGCTGATCTGCCCCCTAGTCAGCAAAGAACAACTCAGTGGAGACTGGTCAGGAATACAGAACTGCAGGGGCTGCAGTTTGCTGAAAAGACTCAGGCCCAGACCAGAGTTTCCACACAACCCAGGTGTACCAGATCTCATAAGACCTGGAAGTACTTACAATGTCAACAGTTAAACCCTGGCCTGCACAAAAAGCCTTCCCAGAGAATCAACAGCAAAACAGCAGTTTAGCTCAACCACAGGGCTCAAATGTGGGTTCCCATAGGAAACTCCTCCATTTTAGAAGTACCCGAAGGACAACAAATTAGTTCCAGTGCAGAGCTTAAGTGGTGAGAATAGTGAATAATCCAATGCAGAACAGGAAGAAAAGACAAAAAAACCCACAGATCAGAGACAAAGTTCTGAAATTAATCAGTAAAGGCCCAACACCACCAAAGAACACCTGTAAAACCTAGAAAGACTGGAAGGTCGCCAGGCTCCCAAGTTGGGGCAGTAGGGGTCCAAGCGCCTCAGCCATGCCCCCCAACATTCGCATGCAGCCCAGCAACAACAACCAGGCTGCCACTAGAAGTGACCTGGGCCCCCGAGCCAGGGCAGTGGGGGGCCGAGGGCCTCAGCCACGTCCCCAACATCTTCATCAAGTCCAGCGATGACTACCGAGCTGCCACCAGAAGCACCCCAGGCTCCCAAGCCGAGGTCAGGGGGCACCAAGGTTGTCAACCACACCCCCTGAAAGTCCACATCCAGCTCAGCAATGACCACCAAACTGCTGCCAGAATGAGAGGTGTGCCACAGGCCTCAACCACACCCCACCCTCCGTCCTTCTCCTCCTCCTACCCTATCTCCCTCCCTTCTCCCCTACCTGCAGCTGCTCTGCAACAAGATCTTAGGATGT